GGTGTGCAGGAGGCAGCTGATCGATGTTTCTAACTCTCTATCCCTCTCCCTTCCTCTCTGTAAAAAATCAATAAAATATATTAAAAAAACAAAAACAAAAACACACACACCCAATGGAAGTCATAGCCAGAGCAATTATGCAAGAAAAAGAAATAAAAGGCATCCAAATTGGAAAGTAAGAAGTAAAACTGTCACTATTTGTAGATCACATGATATTATGTGTAGAAAACCCTACTAAAGACTCCACCAAAAAAACTGTTAGAGCTAATCAACAGATTCAGTAAAGTTATAGGATACAAAATCAATATACAAAAATAAATTGCACTTCAATATACTACTAATGGGATATCAGGAAGTGGAATTAAGAAGACAATATCACTTACAATTGCATAAAAAAGAATAAAACACCTAGGAATTAATTTAACCAAGGATGTGAAAGACTTTAAGATATTGATTAAAATAAATAGAAGGAGTGGGAGGCGGCAGACGGGGAGGACAGGAACCCGCTGGAAGAGGTTAATGGGGAATAAAGGAGGACCTATGTAATACTTTCAACAATAAAGATTTAATCAATCAATCAATAATAGACACAAATAAATGGAAAGATATTCTGTTCTCATGGATTGTGTGGATGAAAGGGGCCACATGCTAACCTGACAAGCTCAGGGGAGGCCTGCATGGCAGTCTTGCAAACTCAAAGACCTAAAGTAGCCACAAAGGATGGTCTGAAATTAAACTTTAATTAAAAGTAGTTATGGTGGGTAGTCACCTCCTAGGCCGGTATCTTCCCTGTCAAGGTCAACCTTTACCTTAACTGCACTTATTGTCTTTTTGCATCTACAATAACATATCATTGAAATGTGCTGTAAGATATTGATGAAAATAAAAAGAAGGGGGGGGGCGGGAGGACAGGAATGGGCTAGAAGAGGTTAATGGGGGATAAAGGGGGACCTATGTAATACTTTCAACAATGAAGATTTAATCAAGCAATCAATTAATCAATAAAAGACACAAATAAATGGAAAGATATTCTGTGCTCATGGATTGTGTGGATGAAAGGGGCCACATGCTAACCTGACAAGCTCAGGGAAGGCCTGCATGGCGGTCTTGCAAACTCAAAGACCTAAAGTAGCCACAAAGGATGGTCTGAAATTAAACTTTAATTAAAAGCAGTTATGGTGGGTAGTCACCTCCTAGGCCGGTATCTTCCCTGTCAAGGTCAACCTTTACCTTAACTGCACTTATTGTCTTTTTGCATCTACGATAACATATCATTGAAATGTCTGGGTGACTTGTAACTTCCCTTTTTTCCAGACCCCTCAAGGCACAACCAAATGTCTGGGCTCCAGGACAGATACCACAAATTCCTTCATTGTTATTGTTACCTTGTTAATTGTTGACTATTAACTATCCTGTACCCACCTAAGTAATGTGTTTATCATTTTACTTTTTATCCAATCCCAGAGGTCCCCCCCCCCTTTTGCTTTCTCCCTCCTCCCTAATCTATCACCAATGGATTTCATGTAACCCACCTAAGTCTGCTCCTTTGATTGCAATGTATAAAAATAGATGAAAACCCGCCATTCTCTGGAGAATTATCCCAATCCCTTGAGATTCTGCCTCCTGGCAATTGTCGACAGTTTGGCTCAAATAAACTCACAAAAATTCTTTACAGGTTCAAATGTGTTAACAATTGGAAGAATATTGTTAAAATGTCCATCCTACCAAAGTAATCAACAGATTCAGTGCAATCCCTATCAATATTCCAACGGCATTTTCCAAAGAAATATAACTAACAATCTAAAATTTATATGGACCTACAAAAGACCCAGCATAGCCAAAGCAATCTTGAGAGAAAAAGAACAAAGCTGGAAGCATCATACTCCTGATTATAAACTATATTAAATAGCTATAGTAATCAAAATAGTAGAGTATTGGCATAAACACATTGATGGAACAGAAGAGAGCCTAGAAATAAGTTTACAGCACAGGAACCAAGAATATACAATGGGGAAAGGACAGTTCCTTCAGCAAATGGCATTGGGGAAACTGGACATGCAAAATAATAAAACTAGACTATCTTATGCCATACACAAAAATTAAACCAAAATGGGTTATAGACTTAGATGTAAGACCTAAAACCATAAAACTCCTACAAGAAACATAGACAGTAAGTTCCTTGACATCAGTCTTAGAGTCTGGACAGTGATATTTTCGGAACTGACTCCAAAAGTCAAGGCAACAAAAGCAAAATTAAACAGGTGGGACTATATCAAACTACAGAGCTTCTGCACAGTAAAGAAAACCATCAACAAAATGAAAAGGCAGCCTAGGGAATGGGAGAAAATATTTGCAAGTCACATATCTAATAAGAAATTAATATCCAAAATATATAAAGAACTCATACAACTCAATAGCAAAACAAAACAGTTTAATTAAAAAATGGGCCCTAGCTGGTTTGGCTCAGTGGATAGAGCATCGGCCTGCTGACCAAAGGGTCCCGGGTTCGATTCCGGTTAAGGGCACGTACCTCGGTTGCAGGCTCCTCCCCGGCCCAGGCCCTGGTCAGGACATGTGCAGGAGACAACCAATGGATGTGTTTCTCTCACATCGATATTTCTCTCTGTTTTTCCCTCTCCCTTCCACTCTCTCTAAAAATCAATGAAAAATATCCTTAGATGAGGATTAAAAAGAAAAAAAATGGGCAGGACCCTGCCAGTGTGGCTCAGTGGTTGAGTGTCGACCTATGAACCAAGAGGTCACGGTTCCATTGCCAGTCAGGGTACATGTATGGTTTGTGGGCTGGATCCTCAGTAGGGAGCTTGCAGGAGGCAGCTAATCGATGATTCTCATTGTTGTTCTATCTCTCTCCCTCTCCCTTCCTCTCTGAAATAAAGAAAAAAAAATGTATATATATATTAAATGGGCAGAGGATCTGAATAGATATTTTTCTGAAGAAGACATACAGATGGCCAACAGGTACATGAAAAGACACTTAACATCACTAATTATAAGCGAAATGTAAATTAGAACCACAATGAGTTATCACCTCACATCTGTCAGATGACTATTATAAAAAAGATAAAAACAAGTATAGCTCAGTTGATTGGGCATCCTCGCATGCACCACAAGGTTGCTGGTTCAATTCCTGTTAGGGCATGTGCTTGGGTTGCTGGCTCGTCCCTGATCCACATTGTGCTCTCACATCGATGTTTCTCTCTTCTACCTTCCTCTCTTTCTAAAAATTAATAAACTTTTTAAAAAAACAACAAAAACCAAGCTCACTGATACAGAGACTGATTGGTAGAATTGTTGGGGGCAAAGGGTGGGGGATGGGGGTGTATATATTGATGAAGGGGGTCAAAAGGTACAAACTTCCAGTTATAAAATAAAAATAAAGTCATGGGGATGTAATATACAGTACAAATATTTTTGCGGCCCAGCCAATATAACGGTATGTAAGAAATGTTTTAATAAAAATTTCATAACTTAATTTTTGCAATATCCTGTTATACATAATTTTTAATAATGAACTACAACGTTCCCTAATGACTGATTACTATAATTGTGTTGCATTCATTTCCCTTAC